CATATCTAACCCCATCAATTCCAATCGTACTGACTGCAGCTAGGCAATCGTGAAATGAGCTTTCAAGTGAGTACATGATCGATTTATTACCAATAGGCCACTACGGGTTACCTACCTCAGCACCGGGTACAGGAGACGGCGCCGGTGGTGCTGGATACTGCAAGAAGCCAGATAGGTCATTACTAGTTAACTATTCTAAACTTCTACTATCTATTCTATTCTACTTTATAGACGAAAACAACTACAACTACAAACTGAAGAAAAAACTAAACGCCTAACACAAGCGATCCAACCTCCGGTTCGGCAGGCGATCCTGATTCCTATAATAAAGGGTTAGTGGTCTTTAAGAACAGCACGATGCTACTACACATGCAGTTACTGGAAATCATTTACGGACATCTATCACAAATGCTTACACATATTGTGGCCATCAAGCAATACATATATGATATTTCATATTTAAAAGAAAGAATACATAGGCTGATATCAACCGGGTCCCTATGGACAACTGCTCCAAACGAGTGGGCGGAGCGTTGCGAACGGAATCATTTCCACAAATCACAGGTTGCTATTTATTTTTGACAAAATTTGGCGCAATTCTGTACTTATGAAAGCCGAGGGCTACTTGATGGTTTTTCGCATTAAGGTACAGAACTGCATAGTGACCATGGGTTACCTTGGGTGCGTTGCAGTTCTGCTCAAGTCAGGTCACCTAAAATTGAGACACCACTTCATTTGCTCGGAGCAAGCTTAGGACTAAGCCTAGGCCCAATCATAGGCTTAGGCATAAGCCAATGTGTAAGCATAAGCCTTAACCTAAGTCTAAACCCAAACTTAACCTTAAGCTTCAATGATCGCGCAGCTCTGGTGACCTGACCCGTGAAGGAGAACTGAACGTTTCCCGGTTACCTTGGGCATATCGAGGGATGCCAGGTACCTTTTTTAGGAGTGGCCTCCAGCTATAGCTATCGTCTGGGTACGTTATTATGACAGAGGCCATCAGTGAAGATTAATCCGAGCGAAAAGACAAAACTCTATCCAAAAATTGATGCGGAATCTCAAAAATGTCAACACCACTACCCGAATTCTAAAATCTCTCCACAGGTTTCATACCAGGCTGCATAAGCGTTTGTTCCCTTACCTAGTCTAGGGTATATTTAGGGATTTCTATCGCTCACAATTCCCATCCTATCTGCCAGATCTGTTTCGTTACTTCATTATCGAAACCACTCGCTAAGGCGCACATTTCCCACTAAAAGTTCTCGTACAATGTCCTCGCCTTGCAAAAAGAGGTCCTTTTTAGAGCCTTCAGCGGTTCAGCTTTTTTCCTCCCTGGTGGATTGCTTAATGCTTACGGTTTCATACTTTAACTTCAGTTCCCATATCGTTCTATTGCGGAATGTGTACTTAATTCAGATGATCATTGTGATTGGTCATCAGACCCAACCAATAGCGATGGTTCGTTGTTACAAGCTCCGCCCACTCATCATCAAATTTATGTCTTCTTCAAATTTAACATTCAAATTATTAATCATTATAGTTTTAGGTTTTATTGAAGGAGTTCAAGTTTTATTGATGGGAAAATTATGACTTCTTTGAAGATTTTGTTGCGGAGGATATATGCAAAAGAAACATTTTCAAATAGTCCTCGCCTTAATACACTCCCTAATAAAGTAGGAATTAATTCAAACAAAATAGGTTAATTTATTATTAAGCAGACAAGAGAAAACCTACCGTAGCGTGACCGGAATCAGCGGCGTGGTGCCTGGCATGCTTCAGGTTCTCTCCGACGTCATGCGCCGTATCGGCAGCCACATCGCCAGCCTATACACCATCTGATTAATCCAACTATTCAGGAAGAAATATCAAGCAGATTGGCTGAACTGACAAATCCTTGGGGCTTATCGAAATAAATCCACAGGCTAGGAAAGAGAATTAGTTAGCTCATGAACGGCCACTTGAACATCAACCGTCCGACAACAACTAGAACCCCTGACATTTCCATGTGCGAAATTCATTCCTTCAGAGGCCAAATTATCAAAGAAACAGCCCCAGGTGAAATCGTGTCGAAGAATCTCATTGTGGGTGGGATAAGCAGCCTACGAGTATCATATGTGGCTGTTGTTGCGGCTCGAAAGTGCGCAACAGTGGCGCTAGAGCCTTACAAACAGGGT